GTGTGGGTGTGGGTGTGGGTGTGGGTGTGGGTGTGGGTGTGGGTGTGAGTGTGGGTGTGGGTGTGAGTGTGGGTGGGTGTGGGTGTGGGTGTGGGTGTGGCTATAATAAATACACTATCCTCACAGCCGTATCCACACCCTCACCCACACACACCACCCTCTAACTTGAATTATCAGATCGAAGATAGACTGATTAGTTACTCTGCATAACTTATGAAGATTTTTCATACCATTCTGTAATGAAAAGATGTTACAAATTTTTGAAGATTTATTCCTATATTTATTCATAACCCGCCTTTTCGATGTAAAACTCGTATAAGAAACTATAATGTGGAAAAGTATACTTTAAGATTCGTTTGAAAAGCCTAAGAAACCTTGAAAAAAATATCGAATATCATTCAGTAGAATGTCACCACTTGAAGAACCATTGTTAACTATGAGGAGCTTTTGAAGATCTAGAAAGAGAGAAAGTATAGTGCTTGTTCTACTACTTTTGCTAAAATTTATATACTGAATCTAGACATTATTCATGTTTACAGATAGTTTCACTCTCATTGAATATCCTCTACATTGAGTTAATTCAAGTTTTAGTCTATGATCATAATATCTTTGAATAAATTGATCAATGAAATTAAGAGTTGAAATTATTGTTGTATGTACATAGGTATTATAGATATTAGAAGATCTACAAAATCGGTGAATCTTTCAAAAACATTCTTGGATTAACATTAAAAATAAAAGTTAGTGTCATGCAAATTATGTGTAATCTAAAGGAATGTCAATTTGAAATATTGATATTTAGAGAAATAATTAATCTTAACTATAGTTAAGACTAGAAGCAGAATAGAAAAATATTATTTTACAGATTCTCTGTTTCGAATAAGAATCAAGTTGACACTTATAATTATAAACGTTCATTCATGAGAATCATTCCATTATGTATAATAGATATTATACTGTTAAAGCGATTGACAATTTCATCTAAAACGCATCAACTATTTTCGAACTTGAACTATTATAAATTAGTTTAGTTTTCAACAAACAGAAAGTTCGCTTATTCTGTCATCATCATCAACAAAACTTTTGATCACATATCAATAAAGCCCAAATCTAATTAGATATATCCACAACAATTCATTTAAAATCATTGTAGCAGTACTAACTGAGTTATAATAAACTCATAGTGTAAATGTGGATATTCACTTTCACATCAATATTAATTAATGCGATGCGAATAGCAGAAGCATTTATGTAGTCCTCGGCGAGTTTTCTTCCCTTTTTTCTTTCTTTCTCGACGTACGCATCAAAGTGGTCATTTTGTGTCACGATTATCTTAGCAATCAAACATGAGAAAATACTCATTTAAACGCAATAATAAAATATCGAGATCGAACTGATATCATTCGTTTTCCAATTTTTAACAGGACGTTTGGTTCGTTTATAGGAACTACTTTTATTAATTTAAGATCAATTATTTGATAAACATTAAACAAGCCATTGTCCAATATACTTCTAATGTACATAGTCCAATTTATAAGTCATTTTTTGTTGTAAATAGTTAAAATTATTTTGATTTAATCTCTAATTAGAGTTGAACACAGAACTATCATTATCAAATGATAAATAATATTAATAAGCCATGTAATTAGTCAACACAGTTTCTTTTCATTAAATAGATTCTATAAAACTTATTTAGTAAAAACTTTTAAGTTTGTATTTGTGTAAATGGCTACTTGATGTTTTGATATAGCTATGAACCTTAAAATATGTTCACTATTAAATTGATTTCTTTTTTCAAAATGTGATTGAAGTCAAACTAAAAATATTAAAATTTAAGGTCAGCAGTGTTTTTTCTCCTACTTATAACCAAAAATACCAAAGTAAAGCTTGATTAATATGACTATGTCGATTAAATTAAATTAAAAAAATGCTTTATTGGTGAAAATAAAGTTATTCGAAACTACTTTGGTCCACTACAGGATTTTTCAAGTATAAAAATGTGACATTTATCGCTTAGATTTAGATTTAGTATTTCATTCAAATCTAATTCTATTGAAAGAATATAAAAATCGTAGTAAAGTAACTTTGATTATTAATTTTTTCAAATCTAAAATCAAAATACAGTTCAAATAGATTTTTACATTTTTGTTTTTTATTATTTAGTTCATCACTCAGTCAAAGAAATAGTTTGAACAATTAATTAATTATATGAGTCATTCAAGAGATCGTTTTACAGATATCGAATTGGAAAATAAACATTTACTAGCATGTTTGGTTATATTTCTTGGAAGTTATTACTATCTCTTGACGATGCTATGAAAGAATTATAAGATTGTTTAGAAGAAATAAATCGTTTTGTTAAATTAGCTAAAAGATATTGTACATATCCAAATGAACATAATTTAACGAAAGATCAATCTGCTGCAATTTATATTTATACTATGGAAATGTCTGATCATTCATGTGTTTATTATATTTTAAATAAAACACTTCGTCTAGAAGATCGATCAAAGGTTCGTCCATGTTGTGAATATTTAAAACTTTTAGATTCTGCGATATCAAAAATTACCTACATTCAAAGGAACTATTTTTTGAGGTATTGATAAAGATGTTAGTAAGAATTTTACAAAAGGTCAACGCATTACTTGGTGGAGTATAAGTTCATGTTCAGCATCTGTTAATATTATTAAGGACTAAATCATCATGGTGAATTAAACATTATTCATTTGAAAGAAGTTAATGATGATGATGATGAACCACTAAGACCACCACATTCAAGTAAGTACTTTAACTACTGTATGTATTAGATAACAAATCAATAAAATAAATTTCGATGCATAAATGAACATGAGAATAATTGTTTAAAACCTGATTAATAAAATAATACAAAAAATATTACTTTATTTCTCAGATATTTTTTAATACTAAGCGAACAAGAAGTAGAAATAGTCTAGGATTAGATTAATTTTTGATTATAAATCCATATCTATTTATTTTTGTTTCAAATTCTAAAACATTTATTTTATCTGACTAATGAAGAAATATTGTTCGATGAAAAAATATTTATAAAAAAAGGAAGGAAAATAATTTAATAAAAAGTTATTATAGAGTTTATGATACGGTTTTCAAAATAATTAAATGAGTAAGAAATATTTGATATTATATTGTTAAATTTGACCTATTGAACATCTTGATTAGAAAATCAAACATTTCAATAAAGTAATCTAAAAATAATTTATTTTTATTTAAATAAAATATTGAAAATGTTTAATTAGTTATTTTTTTTTTTATCTTTATAAGAAAAGATCGTCAAGTTTCGAAGGTAGAAACTGTGTTAAATAATAAATAATCTTCTAAAAAGATTTTTGAAAAATGGATTTTTTCAAAATCAGATAAAATTTGTTTTAAAAATTAATAATATTCTGTATCTTAGTTAGTCTTTCATAATTAATAGTGTTTAAGTTTTTACTTTAGTAAAACACGTGGTTGAAAATTTATCATTCGAATAAAAACTATACTGATAAGAAAGCTCTAAAAAAAATGATTTTTTATTGGCCTCAATAACCTATATAATAAGAAACTAATAGATTTGAAAATAAATATTCTCTGAACTTCGATTTCTTAAATTTCGTAAAAAAAATTCTTCTTTTTCAATAATAAAATCACCAAATTCTGTGCAAGATCAATATTAAAATATTGATTTCAAAATATTAATGAATACTCCATTATTAGATTTTCAAAAAAAAATTTTCTCTTTTTACAATAGGTTTCGATCTTTTACATGATTATTTTAAAAATCTAGTTTTACTAGCCAATGTGAAGTGTGAACTTTTACTTCTAAAAGTACATACATTAGAATATACTGAAGAGCGTTTCATTATTTTTAGTTATTCATTTTCTTTTATTTATCAAGAAGTAGGTTCATCTGTTTTCGACTAATCAAGGGTGCTTGTCGCTCGCACAAGTCTTTCTTTAAATGTGATTTTTACTACACTTTGTATAAAAGCAAGATCATACGAAATCACATATTAGTCATTTGAATGATTAGCTATGGGTTACCAATGCAAAAGACAAAGTCTGTTGATCACAACTTTACATAAGATAGAAATAAGTCGATATACATCCAAGAAGTACTTTAAAATTTGATTATTATTTTTCACATGAATATTATCTCCTCAAATTCAAGCTATCTTCTTTTAATTTCTTTCTTCATTTTAAAAACTTTTATTATAATTATGGTTAGTAAAAAGAGAGAAAGAACCTGCAAAAACGAAATTCGAAATGAAAGTATTAGTGAAAAAATAATGAAAAAAAGATTCAGTGCTAAATAATGAAAAAGTAAGTAAAAAAAAAAAGTTGGAGTCTTTTTGACTCCAAAAAAGTTTTTTTTAGAAATAGTTCTTGTTGTCAGATCAAACCGCCGACATCCCACGAATCCTTCTTTAACAACCACGCAGAGTACTCATAGCAACAGCACTCATTACATTACCACCATGTATAGGATCAGCACTACGACAAAAAGCATCAGTATACGAAGCAGTAGCATAAAGAATATGATAATTCGAACCACCACCTCTACTACGAAGACCAATATCACGACAATAACTAGTATCACCATCATCATCACAAAGAGTGCAATTATTCTTGCCACAACAATTAGCAGGATTGCACGCTGGTAGTATAGCTAAAATATATAACCAGAGAAATTTGTTTATTAGTCAAAACTGAGTCAGTTCCACACATGAACTTAAAACTTAAAGCTTACTTATGCCTTATCATTCTAAAAGAGTAGAATAAAAAGTTCTTAAAAACAGAAGAAACTGGCTCGCATAAAGAGTTTTGTTCTGTTCTTAGACGAACCAACTGTTTTTGTCTTCAAAGTTTTGTGCTAATTTCGGAATGATATTCCCGGTTTTAGAACAGAAGTATTTGATATAAAACTAGACACGTATAAGCAATAAAGAACATTTGTTCGAATAAACATAAAATAATGAAAATGCAGCTAATGGTTACAGTCGTCGCAAGAAGATCAGCGAGATTTACTCAAATAGTAAATGGATAAAGAGACATTTTCTGATCAATTTTTGCTTTTTATGTTTGTTCGCGAGCCCAGAATATTGTTTTACATCAAGTGATAGTTGGTACTCCGTTCTACATTGCTACAAATCTTATTGATGATATCACCATAGACGACAGCAATACGTTCGATCTTTAATTCATCTCTGTGATGCTCTACTCAGTCTCTCCGCATCAACTGCTTACAACCTCAATTCATTCAACTTTTACTTGAGTATCTTCCAGTCTTCCACCGTCATTGACTCTTATCTAATGAATTCACATTCATATCAAAAAAGGTGATTTTTCTTATACAACAAAAATCACTTATATTTCTGCACTTGTCCGAGTTTCATTCAGTTAAAGGATGGGTAGCTCTATTAATAACTGCTGTAATAACAATAAGATCTAGAACTGAAAATTTCTTCTGTATCATTATATTATTCGTTTTCAATCTGAAAAGTAGTTACAAAAATTGGAGAAATTCAGCTAAAAGTCTTGAACTTTTCAAACTACCTTGTATGCACGTAGTAAATGGCAGAACGTTGTAGAGTGAGAGCAGAAGTTAGAACTCAAACTCGCTTCAGAACCTCTTTTAGGATATTCAAAAAGATATGCTGTCACATTATTATTGAAGAATTCTCTGAGCGTGTGAGTGTGAGATATAAACGAAAGTTTTTACAAAAACGCAGAAACTCGGTTGCCAAACTAATAACATCCTACCTGCACAGATACTACCAGTGCACACTCCACTTTGACAGTCACCGGCACTCTTGCATCCTAATGAATTGGCACATTTGTTGCCGGATGATCCGCCACAATCGACATCTGTTTCAGC